CATCACCTCAAAATAGCACAACGATGTGAAATCCGGGGTTTCATACCCTCAAGACAACATTTAAAATCATTACTCACCTCAATCCGGCCCATACTCTAGCTCGCGATGCCTTTGCCCCTCGAATCGGCCTCCGGATGTTCCAAATCTAGGCAAAATCAGAACATAACCATCAAAATATGCTAAGGGGACAAAGCCCACTCGAAAACAATCGAAAAACAACACGAATCCCGAAATTAGCCAAACCCGACCCCCGAGCCCACGTCTCGGAATTCGATAAGTTTTACATTATTAGACTCCTTATCTCCCCACGAGTTCATACATATCAAAAGTTCTAAAATCCGACCACAAATGGCCCTTCAAATCCTTAATCAAAGACCTAAGTTCCCAAGCCCTAGTTTCTTCCATCTTTACCCAATCTTTTCCACGAATTTCAACTCTAATCCGTGAAATAATACCATAAGGACGAGTTTTTGTGATCCAAAACCTTACCTCAATGAAGTCTCCTTGAATTCCTTCTTCAAAATTGCCCAAAAAGCTCCAGAAATCGTGTTTAAAAATGGTGAAAACCTTTGAAAATCGCGAAGGAAAAATTATATACATTCTGATCCAGGGATTCCGCACCTGCGGTCCTTAACTCGCTCCTGCGCAACCGCTTATGCGGTCCCAAGCGCCGCATTTGCGGTCATCACTTAAACGTTCCCTTTCCGCATCTGCGATGCACAACCCGCACCTGCGCCATCGCAGGTGCGGTTCCTTAACCGCTCCTGCGGTTCTTGCCTCCCTTGGCTCCTTCCGCTTCTGCGACTGATCTTCCGCATCTGCGGTGGTCGCATATGCGGTGGTCGCATCTGCGATCCTTCAACCCCAGATGCGGTTATGACAGCAGTCCTAAAACTTCAGCTGCTATTTCCAATTTTCTATCTTTCCGTCAACCATCCGAAATCACCCCGAGGCCCCCGGGACCTCAACCAAAAGCACAAACAAGTCATATACTACCATCCAAACCTATACCAATCTTCAAAACACCTCAAACAATATCAAATCAACCAAAACGCATTGGATTCAAGCCTAAGATTCTCAAAATCTTCCGAATTACGCTCTTGATGAAAAAGTCTATCAAACCACGTCCGAATGACCTGAAATTTTTGCACACACATCCCAAATGACAAAACGGACCTACTGCAACTCTCAGAATTCCATTCCGACCCCTATATCAAAATCTCACCTATCAACCGGAAAACGCCAAAATTCCACTTTCGCCAATTCAAGCCTAAATCTACTACGGACATCCAAAACACATTCCGATCACGCTCCTAAGTCCCAAATCATCTCCCGAAGCTATCCAAATCATTGGAATTCACATCCAATCCCTATAACACATAAGTCAACATCCGGTTGACTTTTCCAACTTAAGCTTTCTTAAAAGAGACTAAGTGTCTCAATATTACCAAATCCTCTTCGAACCCGAGTCAACCAACCCGATAACACAAAATACAGCTGAACAAGGCAATAAGAAGCAGAAATGGGGGAAACGAAGCGGTAACTCATGAAACGATCGGCCGGGTCGTTACAAAAAATCTCAGGAATTTTTTCATTCCTATACACTATTTGAAACTTTATTACCCTTAATGTCCATGCTTAGCTAATTACCTGGCATAAACAAGTTTGGTTTGCAAAATATATACAATCCACCTTAAAAGTCTCCCAAATCAATTATTTGTGCCTTCAATTAAAGGGATTTTGTTACACCCTTTTCCTTTTTTCTCTCCTCTCTCCCCTCTTCTCTCCATATTCTCTCTTTCTCCCCTCGTCCGTCCAAATACTTACAAATTTATGTAAAGCGATCAGCTTTTCCTGACCAAAAATTGTTCGTGCATCAAAGGGATCAGTTTTCCATGATCCTTTTTGCTACCAATTGTAAACACCTAGAGAAGTCCGAATGTGAATGCCGAGGTACAAGCCACTTGTCACCCAAAATAATTAAATTGATTAATCAACAAATTGCCAAAGCATCAATCTAAATCTGTTCGCTCAAGTCAGATCCATTTCACTATAATACTCAATAATATCAATTTTAAGTTAATTAAAAGCATTTCAAAATCGATGATTGATAGGTACATTAGATCGAAGAATATAAAGAGAGAGAAAAATTGATTACTAGAGCAAGGGTGCTGGTCCTTGAAAAGATATGAATTTTAAGCTCATTTTTATTTAAAACTTGAAAAGATATATTATTTTTAGTTAGTGTAACTATAAGAACTAATAAAATTTATTAAGTAATCATTGGCAATTTTTGTTCTTTATTTCATTCTAGATTAACAACAATACAGACTTTGAGCCACAAACAAAAAAGAATATGAAATGAGAGAATTAAAAATGGCACCTTTTTTGTGTCGCGCATTCATATAGTGGCATGTAACTTTACATTATTTCTACCCAAGTTATATACAACTTATCTACATTATTTATACCCAGTAATATATAACTACAATGTCATACCACTTAAAAATAAATTTTATGCAATATGTATTTTGTATATTTTGTATCTGATTTATACATAGTGAAAACAAATTTCATACAACTAATTATATATTATACAATTTATCTACAACTTGTCTAGAACTTTCACACATTATTTCTACCCAGTTAAATACAACTACAATAACATATAACTTAAATACAAATTTTATACAAATTTTATACAATATGTCTTTTGTATATTTTGTATCTGATTTATACATAGTAAAAATAAATTTTATACAACTAATTATATATTATACAACTTATCTACAATATTTCTACTCAGTTATATACAACTACTGTATCATATTACTTAAATATAATTTTTATACAATGTTGTTCAACTTTCATACAATTGTTGAATAATATATATATATATATATATATATATATATATATATATATATATATATATATATAACTAAAATTTCGCAAATATAAATGTATATCATGTCTTCTTCTTCTTCTTCTTCTTCTTCTTCGAGTTTCAATCTGAAATTCAGCCAAAATCAAGTCTAATCTTCACCAAAACACCCATAAAATTGAGATATAAACTTCAAACCCTATTCCCAATTGTTTGCAACAACACCCAATCCAAACAAATAATTATTTTTCAAAACCCAAACTCAAATTCAAAGCTTCAAAGCTTTTTAATGGCTGTCGATGGTGGAATTGCTACTCTCTTTTCCTTTGCTTTACATTACTGAAATTAGTGATAGTGAGATAGAGAGAGACGTACAGAGAATTTCTAATTCTTTGCAACAACACCCAATTCAAATAAATAATAATTTTTTGGGTGAATTCTCTAATAAAATACCCAAATCAAGTGTAGGAATATCGGCTCCTTCCCCTTTTTAGGGCTGTTCTTTGAAGCTATTTTCTTCTTCATTGAAAATCAAGCTAAGCACAGACGTTAATGGAGGTGATTTTTTGAAGAAGAGAGTAAAAATTTAGAATTCTTATGGAAGAAGAGAGGAAATGTGATGACCCAAAAGGTCATCTCTTGTTTTGAAAGTCAAATTTGTGTCCCGAAGCCTTAAAAACCTCCTTTTTTTTCCACTTCGATTTTGCGTGCGTAGTCCGAGCGTATATTCGGAAAGCTCTTATGTGAAAAATTTGATAAAATGCTAATTTTTGCCTTTAAAATTGAATTTAAGTTGACTTCGGTCAACATTTTGGGTAAACGGACCCAGACCCGTGATTTGATGGTCTCAGAGGGTCAGTAGAAAAATATGGGACCTGGGCGTATGCCCGGAATTCGATTCCGAGGTCCCTAGCACGGGAAATGAATTTTTGAAAGAAATTGTTTAACTGAAAATATAAGAGTTTATGGAAATTTATAGATGTTTGAATTTGATGGTATCGGGCCCGTATTTTGGCTTCGGAGCCCGGTACAAGTTTGTTATGGTATTTAAGTTGTGCCTGTAAGATTTGGTAAGAAACGGAATTCATATGACGTGAATCGGACCCTCGGTTGTGAAATGGAAACTTTAAGAGTTCTTGAGATTTGTCTTTGATTTTGATGCTAAACTCGTATTTCTAGGCGTTATTCTGGCGATTTGATCGCACGAACGAGCCGTATGATGTTTTTAGGTTGGGGTGCATGTTTGGTTTGGGGCCGGAGGGCACGGGTGAGTTTCGGATAGGTTTCGGGATGTTTTGGACTTAAGAACTTCTGCTGTATTGCTGCTTCTGGTGTGCTAATATTTTGTTCTTCGCGTTCGCGAAGCAGCGAACGCGAACGCAAAGTACAAGCTGGGCTGGGGAGGAATTTCTTAAACCCGAACGCGAGGCCTTGGTCGCGAACGTAGAGCACTAGGGGTTTGCTCTTCGTGAACGCGTAGTGTAATGGAGGTGGGCTGGGAATCAGTCATTTCTTCTACGCGAACGCGCACATAGGTCCGTGAACGCGAAGTCCAGAGGGATATACCCTTTGCGAACGCGTGGAAGAACTCGCGATAGCGTAAGCCTGAGAAGGCAGCTCTTCGCGAACGCGGCAGGCCCTTCACGAACGCGAAGAAGGCCTGCCCAGTCTCTTTAAAACAGTAGCAGAATGGGAATTTAGCCCACAACTTCATATTTTCAAAACTAGAGAGCATTGAGGCGATTTTCAAGAGGCAAGTTCTTCCCCAAAGTATTGGTATATGATTCTAAGCCTTTTTCTTTCAATTTCCCTTTGCATTTCATCAATCTTCATCCAAAAATCTAGGGTTTTATGGTAGAAATTGGGAATTTGGGTAGAGTTAGGGCTTTTTGAATAATTGGAATTTAGACCTCGTTTTGGGGTCGGATTTCGAAACTAATTGCATATTCGGGCTCGTGGATGATGGGTGATCGGTTTTGGTCTGAACATCAAGTTTTACCAAGCGGGCCCGGGGTCGATTTTTGACTTTTTGGGGAAAATAATAGAAAACCTATAATTAAGCATTGGAGTTGAATTCTTTAGCATTTATTGATGTTGTTAAATTAATTTGGGTTAGATACAAGTGAATTGGAAGTGGAATCAAAAGGGAAAAAGCGGTATTTGAGCTTGAGTTTGGTCGTGGAATTCGAGGTAAGTGTTTGGTCTAACCTTAGCTTGAGGGAATAGGTGTTGTGTCTTATTTGCTATGTGTTAGTGTTGAGTACGGCGTATAGGTGAAGTGACGAGTATCTATACGTTGGTGTCAAGCATGCCCGTGAGTCTAATATTAAGATTGTTGTGATTTTTATTATGTATTGTAATTGTTGAAATTAATGATTAGCACTGTGGTACAAGGTTTATGATAAATTCTTGGTAGTTGACTATTGTTGAGTATTGGTTCAAGCTAAGGTTTATTTGTGAAGTAATTGTTGAAGCTAGATGGTTATAGTTGATTCCCTTACCGGGATGGTATTGTTCTTGTTGTTGACTCCCTTGCCGGGACGGTATTGTTTCTATTGATGTTTCTATTGTGGATTCCCTTGCTAGGATGTTATCATTGTATTTGTTTGGGTGAGGAAGAGTGTAAAGCACGAAGCGTGATGCCGTGCGTGAGATTGTGAGTGAGTGTTAATGCACAAAGGGTGATGACGTGCCGATATTGTGAGTGTTAATGCACGAAGGGTGATGCCGTGCCATATTAATGAAATTAAAAGCACGAAGGGTGATGTCGTGCCATGATTATGAGAGAGTAAAAGCACGAAGGATGATGTCGTGCCATTTCTGTTGATTTCTATGGTGAGGACGAGAGTAAAAGCGTGAAGGGTGATATCGTGCACTTGTCATTGTGTTATTAATTCCGTTGCTTCGAGTTTGATATTTACTTTGTCTCCTTCCTTTATATTTGTTATAACTTGGTACCCCTCTCAGCATGTTTCCCCTTTTACCCTCTTACTCTGTTTAATTCTTGTTATTATTGCTTCCGGTATATGATTTAATTGCACAGGTTATTTGGTTGTTGTGTCCTAGCCTCGTCACTACTTCGCCAAGGCTAGGCTCGACACTTACCAGTACATGGGGTCGGTTGTACTGATACTACACTCTGTACTCTTTTGTGCAGATCCCGGTACTGGACCCTACGGACCATAGATTGAGGTTGTTGCCTTCAGTCCAGTAGAGACCCGAGGTAGTCCTGCAGGCGTCTGCAGGCCTTGGCATCCTCTTCTATCATATTTCCATTCAGTTTTTATCTATTTCTCAGACAGACTTGTATTTTCTTATTTAGACCACTACTTGTAGTATTCCTAGATAGTCCGTGATATTGTGACACCAGTTCTGGGTGGAGTTTCATTTTGGATTTCGTACTAGTATTACATTAAACGGTTAAATTTTGCTCTTCCGCATTTTATTCCGCTGTTTATGTTATATTAATTTGCAAATTGCTTAAAGATATAAATAAAAAGGTAAAATAGTCAGTAAAGTTGTCTTGCCTAGCGGGTTTAATGTTAGGCGCCATCACGGTCCCGACGGTGGGGGAATTCGGGTCGTGACAGGAAATAGGCATTAATGGAGGGATAGAGTGATTTTAGGACACTAATTATTACCATTAATTTCCTTAAAATGTAAATAAATGGTAATTGGGTATATAATATGTAATTATAGTAAAACTTGAGTAGGGAGGGTAATATAGTTTCATATAGTGTATAGGAATGTAAAACTCTCAGGGACTTTTTCATTCCTATACACTAATTGAAACTTTATTACCTTTAATGTCCATGTTTAGCTAATTACCTGGCATAAACAAGTTTTGTTTACAAAATATATACAATCCACCTTAAAATACTCCCAAATCCATTATTTTTGCATTCAATCAAGGGATTTTGTTACACTCTTTTCCTTTTTTCTCTCCTCTCTCTCCTCTTCTCTCCATATTCTCTCTTTCTCCCCTCGTCCGTCCAAATACTTACAAATTTATGTAAAGCGATCAGCTTTTCCTGACAAAGAATTGTTCGTGCATCAAAGGGATCAGTTTTCCATGATCCTTTTTTGCTACCAGTTGTAAACACCTAGACAAGTCTGAATGTGAATGCCGAGGTACGAGCCACTTGTCACCCAAAACAATTAAATTGATTAATCAACCAATCGCCAAAGCATCAATCTAAATATGTTTGCTCTAGCCAGATCCATTTCACTATAATACTTAACAATATGAATTTTAAGTTAATTAAAAGCATTTCAAAATCGATGGTTGACAGGTACATTAGATCGAAGAATATAAAGAGAGAGAAAAATTGATTACTAGAGCAAGGGTGCTGTTCCTTGAAAAGATATGAATTTTAAGTTCATTTTTATTTAAAACTTGAAAAGATATATTATTTTTAGTTAGTGTAACTATAAGAATTTTATTAAGAATCATTGGCAGTTTTTGTTCTTTATTTCATTCTAGATTAACAACAATACAGACTTTGAGCCACAAACAAAAAAGAATATGAAATGAGAGAATTAAAAATGGCACCTTTTTTGTGTCGCGCATTCATATAGTGGCATGTGTATTGGGAAAATCAAGTTAATATATTGAATTAATTATGTGATGATATACCAAGACACGTGGATCAATAAAAGAGTGACAGCTGGCAAAGGATAGCTGAAGAGGCACGTGCTTTGACAGGCACGGGCAGAGATTCAAGAAAGACATGAGAAGAACAGTTACTCGAGCCTCATGGTAATATGAAAAGACATCAGAGGAATGAACCTGGATAGCAAAAAGTGCAAATACGTATTGCCCGCAATTAATGAGCATCAATGATAGAAAACGTTATAGAATCTTCACGAAGCAGTTACGATTACCAATTATAACGTTATATTAAATGTCATTAATTGCTCATAATGGCTCTGTTATGAGAGGAAAGGAAACGTATTATTGAGAGATCGCTATAAAAGGAGAGATATAACACTTGTAAAGACAGACAATATTATTGCAATACACTGATTTACTTTGCTTTCTTTTTACTCAGCTATCAATCATCTCAATTCTTCTTATTTATTTCCAATTTGATTATCAGTAACCCAAGTTCTTCTAAAAAATACGCTTTGACCCGAATTTTCTATTTTCTGTTTAAACAAATTGGTTCCATTACCGAGAATCTGATAATCTATTACTTTCTGAATCAAATTTTTCGTCAAAACAATCATGTCGAATGTAAATGACAACAATCAAGGAGGTCACCAACAACAGGAGAATCTGCAAGGCACAGGAACTCCGGTCCCTTCCCCACAAAATTCTCCTCGGCAATCTCGAGAAGGAACACCTGATGGGTCTCGATCAAATGTGAATGATCAATTTGAAAATGATGAGGCTATTGATGAATCTTTGAAAAAATTAATTGTTGAACAGGTCAGCAATGCCCTTGAGGCCTTCGCTAACAAGTTGCCAGTCTGCCGCCAACATCAACTCTAAACAACAACACCTTAGAAAATCCTCGCTCAGGACTTGTTAATTCATGCAGTGGAGGTACTCCTAGCGAATCCCGTGATGGAGGGTCAGGTAACCTAGTTAATTCTGATTTACAAAATTTGGTACTAACTTTGCAGAAACAGCTCAAGGAGCAGAGCGACCGCATAGAGCAAATACCTGGAGTGCCGCCTGTAATCAAGGGAATAGATATAGACAAATACTCACAACAACCTTGGAAGCCAAGTGCAGCCTCTTTACCAATTCCGAAGAAATTCAAGATGCCCGACATTCCGAAATATGATGGGACAACTGATCCAAGGGATCACATAACTGCATTCACAACCAATGTAAAAGGCAACGACTTGACCAAGCAAGAAATTCAATATGTGTTGGTCAAAAAATTCAGAGAAACACTCACTAAGGGAGCATTAGCATGGTATTCTCTTTTACCCGAAAATTTTATAGATTCTTTTGCTGAACTTGCATATTCATTCATCAAAACACACCCGGGAGCTCAGAAAGTTGAGAAAAGAATGGAGGATATTTTCAAAATAAAGCAAGGGGATACGGAACTGCTCAGGGAATTCGTGGACAGATTCCAGCAAGAGAGGATGATGTTGCCACGCATACCAGATAACTGGGCAGCTATGGCATTTGCCAGCAATCTAAATGAAAAAAGTTCAGAAGCCACGAGAAGACTCAAGGAAAGTCTGCATGAATTTCCAGCAACAACTTGGAATGATGTTTATAACAGATATAGCACGAAGCTGCGGATAGAAGAGGATACCATTATTCAATCTCGAAGGGATGAAACGGTAAATTCAAGGCGAGCTGAATTTGAAAAAAGGTCCGAAAAAAATAGGTACGAGCCATACATGGGACCAGTAGGAAGAGACTCGCGTTCAAAACAGGAAAACCCAAGGTACGATCATAGATCAAGAGATAGAGAGTCAGGTTCATCATCAAGGTTAGGAAAAGAACGAAACACGCGAGAGATGCGAGAGGATGATAAAAACTCGAAGGCAAAGTTCGGCGGTTATAGTTTTAATGTCAGCACATCCGAGTTGGTAGCTGTTTTAAGGAGCATGGGAGACAAGGTACGCTGGCCAAGGGAAATGAGATCAAACCCGAACAGAAGGAATCCTGAATTTTGGTATGAATTTCACAACGATCACGGTCACAAAATGACGGATTGTAGATTGCTGCAAGTTGAAGTGGAACATTTATTAAAACAAGGATATTTAACCGAGTTATTTAGTGAAAAGGGAAAGCAGGCATATATGAAAAATAGGCAGGATCCCCCAAAACCCCATTCACCGAAAAGGATGGTTAATGTCANTTTCCGGTTCGTTTCTATGTTGTCCCTAGCCTGGGAGTGAGTTTTGCAATTCTCTTTCCTTTACCCCCTCGGGAGGAACCACCTCTCCCGGGTTGTTGTGATGTTTGGTAGATGCAAGCTGATGATAAGTTGATACCCAAAGCTCATACCTTGTCTGGTTTTGACAACTCGAGCGTTGTGACAAAAGGAGAGATAATGCTCACCACATTTGCAGAAGGAGTGGTCAAAGACACCAAATTTCAAGTGGTAGAAAAGGATATGGCTTACAATATAATTCTTGGTAGACCATGGATACATAAGATGGATGTTGTACCATCTACTTTGCATCAAGTTATCAAATTCCCTTCACAATGGGGAATACGACAAATACGTGGTGACCAGCAAGCGTCCCGGAGCATTAATTCCGTAGCAGATGCAAGCGCAAAAAGCGAAGACAAATAGCAATCACAGAACCAAGTTGAGGATGTTGCTACGCAAACCTCAACTAGGCATGGGCGAACAGATATAGACTCGAGGCCTGATACCATCCAAGAACCAGAAGAAAATGAAAACATCAAAACAACGATCGAGGAGTTAGAAGCTGTAGTATTATTTGCACCCTGGCGTGACAGAAAAGTCTACATCGGGACCAACCTCAGCCATGAAATGAAATGTAGGTTAATTGAATTTTTAAAAGCTAACATAGACTACTTTGCTTGGTCCCATTCAGATATGACAGGTATACCCCCGGATGTAATGACTCACAAGTTAAATGAAGATCTGTCGTACCCACCTGTTAAGCAAAAGAAAAGGAAGCAAGGTTCCTTCAAAAACCAGGTGATTCAAGATGAGGTGCAGAAACTTTTAAAAATTGGGTCTATCCGCGAGGTAAAGATTCAAAAGATAAATACAAGTTTCAACAAGCAAAAGAAGCAAGATGAAGAAGAGTACAAGGCCGCCGATTAATGAAGGTTCAGTATTTACAATTCAGGAAGAGAAATACATGCATTCTGAGTTACATTCAATAGTAACAAAGTTATATAATTGACCACACCCATCTCAATTATGCCCTATGGGAGCTGACAAATATAGTTTAAGAGAATGATGTAATAACAGGATCAAGCTGGGGTTAGTGTAATCAAAAATTGTGGATGGATTGTTATCATTAGCTAACATTTCTGAAGGGTAGTGCAAATGTGGTAATAGATCTCCTTGTGAGACACCCAGATGGTGAACTCTAGAATAGTGCAATCAGATATGAATACTAAAATATTCGGAAATTTCGGTATCCAAATTGGTTGGATAATACTGTTGTAGTGCCTAAAAAGAATGGTAAGTGGCGAGTTTGTGTAGATTATACTTATCTGAATAAAGCTTGCCCTAAAGATTCTTTTCCATTACCGCA